ACCGCTCTAGGGAATAGAGTCTGTTTTTAGAAAGGCGTAGGGGGAACTCCACTCCATGCTGAGAAGCCCTCGGGGCTTTCCAGCCTCTCCAGGGCAGTGGCCGTGGCCCGTGCGCGGGGCTCAGGGCACAGCGGGCGCCCCAGTGCACGCTGCCCGCTCCTCTGGCTCCCTCAGTTCCCGGACCATGCTTGGGGCTTTCCGCAGCGCTGTTCCGGCTGCTCTTCCCGCAACCCTGCTGCTACGCTGCCAGGCCCAACTCCTTCCCTCCTTTGGGCCTCGGGCTCAGGTTCCCTGACTTCCATGGAGGCCTCTCACCCCCGGCTCTGCCCCAGCAGCCCCTCCTCAGCCCCACGTTCCCTTCCTTCGGAGGCCTTCCCACTGCGTGTCACGAGCTAGCTGGGCTTTTCTCATTCGTCTGATTTTTCTGAGCACCTACTATGTGTTAGGCACTGACCCAGGTGCTAGGACTACACAGGGGCCAGCAAAGCGAATCCTTCGCCTGCGTGGCGCTCACACCCTCCCCAGGGAGACAGAAAACAGGCCGAGGTGGGGTACGCGTGTCCCATGGAGGACAGCGAAATGGGGTGGCGATGGGGGTGCTTCTCTAGAATAAGGGTGAGGACGGGTGCAAGAGTCTTCCCAGCCAGGCAGAGGTCCACAGCCAGGACGAGGGTCCGGTGGGCAGAGCACAGCTGGTGAGGGGAGAGGGATGACCCAGGAGGTTGCAGGGGGCTGTGTGAACGGGGTAAGGAAGCGGGCTTGATGCTGAGTTGGCAGGAACCCACAGGAGGCCGCCCCCGCCCCCGCCCCGCCCCGCCCGGCCCCAGGTGTGCCCGGAGCTGCTTTGTCTTGGGAAGAGGGCTCTGGGCAGCTGTGCTTGCTCGGGTGAAAGGCCGCAGTGGGCGTGGGGGTGGGATGAGAGTGGTTTGGTTCAGGAAGAATCTCCAAAGCAGGTGCAACAGGACTTACTGCCTCTCACTCAAGAGCTGAAGCTGCAGGAGGGCAGGGACCTGGTCTGTCCTGTCCGCTGCTGTATCAGCGGTGCCTAACACACAGTAGGCGCCCACACATATTTACAGAATGAATGAATGAAGAGAACGCATGTCCCCCCGCCCCCCCCCGGCATCTGTCCCTGCTCAGTGACTTGCTGAACCAGGCTGCAGCCCTGGGGGTGGGTCTTGCAGAGCACCCGCTGGGTAGGCGAGAAATAACAGTCACTAAGCTCAGTTCTCCCCCCTCCAAGCCCAGAGGTTCTATGGAACATCCTCTGTACAGAGGGACGAACAGTGAGAAAAGAAGTGCTCACATTGAAACATAAGGATCCTCCTCTCTACAAGCCCTTCAAGAAGCCCTAGCCCTGGTGCTCTGTGACCACCTAGAGGGGTGGGATAGGGAGGGGGGAGGGAGACGCGAGGAGGGGATATGGGGATACATGTATAGCTGATTCACTTTGTTATAAAGCAGAAATTAACACACCATTGTAAAGCAATTATACTCCAATAAAGATGCTAAAAAAAAAAAAAGAAAGCAGCCCTAGCCCTTGCCACTGCGGCCATCTGTCGCGGAGCCGCGGCCTCACGGTGCAGCTGCCTGCACCTGCGGGGCCCGCACAGCGGGCAGGCTCCCTCACCGGCAGTGTGGCGCCACCGACGGAGCCCTCGGCCGCAGACAGCGGCTCCGCGGCAGGTGTGAAGCCCTCAGCCCTCACGTGAGGGCATCAGCGTATACTTTATTTCTGCCTTTTGGAGGTTAGTGATCCAAGCCCCATCTTCTGAACCAGGCCTTTCTGAAGACTCCAGAGGGTTCTGGGAGAAATGACAGTCTGGACCTGACAGAGCCGTCATCTGGCGTCCGTAGCTGTGAGGCTGGACTGGAGCAGAAGCCCTTTCTCCAACCCCAATCTACCTGTGTGGACGGGATCTCGCACTTTCCACTCCCTGTCGCAAAGTCCAGGTCAAGGCAGGCCGGAACTGCTCCGCCCTTCCCCTTCTCTAGGTAGCGGAGGAAGCTCCTGGGTGTTAGGGCATCCTCTATACAGACGCGTGTTTGCAGGGAAAGGCACCGTTGCGCCCCTCAATACCTGCGTCAGAAATAAGTACTAACTTATTTACAGAGTTACCGCGCATTAACTAAGAGGGAGGTGAAGGGATGCGAGCACCTCCTAGGTGAAGCCAAAGTTCAGATACTAAGAAACCATGGCAAGAACAAGTTTGCAGGGCTTAACTTCGTATTTTCAAATAACCAGAAAGTTGGGCTTAACTGGAGACCTAAACCAGTCAGAAATGAAAGGACAGAGATACTTTGCTGGGGATGGCAGCCGTGAAGGTAGGGAGATGGTCTTTTTCTTCTCTGTACCTCACTGGGGGTCAAGGTAGACAGGAAATGCCTTTCTCCAAATATGTCTTTCTAGCACCCTTCACTGAAAAAGGGGTTCAAAGTTACCTTCTTTATTTAAAGGAATCAGTAAAAACATCTCAGCTCCAAAAAGCACAGAGTGGAGCTTGGCTGTAAAAGGTGGTTTCTCCCACAAAATCGGTGCTTCTCAAAGAGAAGTGCAGCTTGCAGTCCCCCTGGAACCCCACATCGCCTTTTCTCTAACACTGCACAAGCAACACCACTGGGTTCCAGGGCAAGATGCAAACCATGAAGACAACCCCAAATGCCCACGAATTTCTCCCTAAGGAGCCTGAATGCAACCGCCTCTGCCTGACCAAAACCGAAAGCTTCAGCAAGGCTGCGATCTTTTCAGGAGGGCCATGAACTCCTTGATGTTGAGGTCCTTGTAGAGAGCTGCTAACCAAGCACAGAGAAGCAGCAGCGATGGTCGCCACCTTCTAGAATCAAGGAGGACCAGTCCATTTCAAAGGTAGCCCAGCATAAGGGCCCAGAGACTACAGCCACCGGCATCACTGGGAAGGCCCAGTGGGCACCTGGGGCTATGGGCAGACAGCGATGAGGAAGCTTGTCTGGCACAAGGGGCTCACAGGGCCGGGGACCCTCAGAGCAACCCAAAGCACGGGGATGCTGACACCGAGGCTGCGCGTGCACAAGCTTTGTCCAGCGTTAGCCAAGTATAAAGGTGATGATTATCTCCTCCTTTCCTTCAAAGCAACTCCGTGAGGAGTTTTCCACGGGGCTGCAGACTGGAACTCTTCAAGGGTCCTCTCGGGAAGTGAAGAGCAGACTTGAGACTAGGACTAAGCCTCAGGGAGCCTCAAGTCAGGGGTCCTTTCGCAGGGCACTGAGGAGACCACCAGCTGAGCAGGGGTTACTACCGTAAGCTGGCACAGGGCTCAGGGAAGTGGGGGGAGGCCTTCCTCCTCAGCCTGGGAGGCAGTGAGCTGAGCTAGGAAAACAGTGCTCAGAAACCCACATCTGCCACCCACTTCCTTGCTGATCTGATCTTGGGCAGAGGCTCAGTTCCTTTGAGCTCCAGTTTCTTCAGCTATAAAAAGGGGGCTAATGACACCCGGCCAGCCAGGAGGTTGGTAAGGACGAATACGACAGAGTATGTCAGAGTATGTCAAGGGTGCCACACCGGAAGCGCTCAGTAGATTTTAAAGGTTTGCAGGCACAAGAGCTACAGACATTTACAGATGACATAGAGCCTAGAAATGGATGCCTAAATTAATAGGAAATATTTTCAGCCACAGGAGACTTGAGGCTATTCAAAAGGCAACAATGGACGCCTCCCACTTTCCTTTTCTTCTCTGCCTGAAGCCGGCTGCCCACACCTGGTCTAAGAGCTCGGAGGGCGAGGCTCCTGGCTCCCCAGCCAGGCGGCACCACAAATCTGCTATGGTTTGCACAGATGCAAGCCTGCTCTTGGTCTGGGTCCAGAAGATTCCTAGCAAAGGACAGGCAAGGGTGCGAGCCCTCAAGGGCACGCTGCTCAAGTCAGGCCAGGTGGGTGGAGGGGAGAGGCCCACGGCTCTTTAGACACCTGTGCGTGTAGACAGGCGCAGAAGGAGACACTCCTGGGTTGCTGCTTGCAGCTCCCTCTACTAGCGGCCTCGTTTCTACTGAGTGAACTTACATGACAGACGGGAACGACATCATTAGCCCTACAGAGCCAGCTCTCCCTCCAGCTGGGGGACCATACCACCGAGGCCATTATACAAGCTGGGCGACACCCAGTGCGGTAACTAAGGCCAGGTCTCCCCTTCTGAGAACGGGCCGCTCTAGGCAGGGCCAATCAGACGCTCTCACTTGGGAATTTGGAATGGATACTCAACTTCCAGGTCACAGAAGTCATCTGCTGGATGTTTCCACTGAGGCCAGGGAATCCTGGGGCTGTGGGCTGATGTGGCCACACACATATTGAAACAGTGACAGCCAGTCTGCCCAAGGAAGATGAGGCAGAGCTGTGCGGGTGACGTGGGGAGAGGGCGGGGCAGAGAGACAGGCAACACGGAGCAGTCGGGGAGCCAGCAGAGAAGCAAATCCCTGCAGAACTCTACTTAGGACCTTGGAAAATATTCAAAATACAAAAATCCAAAATTTCAGCTCTACCCCTGGGCCCTAATAACATCATATATCAGATTATCTGGCCCAAGAAGTGTCCTCAGCAACCCCAACCAGGCAATCTCCGATTCCAAGTGGTTATGTGACATTTCAGTGTCTGCAAACAGAAGACAGAGCAGTACCAGGGTTCTCTCTAAACAGCCCCCTGCATTTCAGGGAGCCTTAGAAAACCCCTGTGGGTGCGATCAGGGCCATTTTAATTCAAACGTCTGTTCTGCTTTACCCAGATGTAACGCCGTGATATTTGTTTCTCTTTGTCACCACGTGGTCGGGCCAGGAGGTCAACTGACTGCCATCTACAAGAGGCCAAATACTCTGTGGAGACCAGACCTGAGGTTCTGTCGAGACCAAAAGGAGAGGTCAGCTGATCAGGCTTTAAAAATGAGCCCCAGCATTGACAACACAAGGCTCCTGTAAGTGTCCACATACCTGTGGTTCTACCTTTTATGAAATTACGAGGCCACTGGTTTGATTCTGATCTAATGTTTCAATAAAACACCATTTTAGGTTACAAAAGGTGCTTCCCGACAACAGCTCAACAAAAGCTTACTGTGTTTGTTTTTCTTCTCTGGTAGAGGAGGAGGTTTTTCTGGGTCACCCGTTGATTCAGGAACAGTGAAATCACCCACAAATTCAACAGAGGCTGAGGAACCTCCTTGCTGAAAGGGAAGAATAGCAGCAAAGGGCGTGAAGGGGACGGACTGGACCGAGGCCGGGTTCTGCAGGTCCTCCTCGGAGATGTTGTCGTACTGCGAGGGGTGCCGCTCGTAGGACGCCCTGCAGCCAGAGCTGTCCGCCGTCTGGGAGGCCGCGCTCCTGCGTTTCTTCTCGGGAAGAGCAGGCGGCACGTCCATCTGCTGCCCTGGGGCCGACGGCCCCTCTGGCTGGGGACAGCTGCCCAGAGGCAACTGGAAAGGATGGCCGAGAAACGGAGACCCAGACTCCCCCAAGGACTCTGGCAACGGGCTGAGGTTACAGGCCACTTGCTGAGGTATCTGGTCTGCGTTAGAGAGGTCTTGCTGGAGGAATTCGTAGTCAGGGTCGTAATGATCTGCGTTCACAACAAGGGGAAACATACTGTGAGCCACCAGCCGCCACAGAAAGAAAAGCTCCCACACTTCTTCCCTGACCCAGCGCTGCTCATTAGAGTGACCAGAACACATCTCCCGTCTCATCCACAAAGACTCTCACCTTACTTTATATTTTTCATTTTCCTCCTCCTTATAAAAGCAAAACCAGATGGGAATTTGACTGTTTGCTATCCAATTCTTTGTACTTTCCTGGATTTTTAAAAGTTTCTTACTTAAAAAAAGAAAAACGCATGACCACTGTAGAAAAGGTGGCCAAAAAACCCTATTGAGAAAATAAAAATCACCCACAATCCCATAATCTAACTATAGTCTCTGCTTACCATTGGATATATTTCCTTAAAAGTCTTTTTTCCCTTGGATTTATTTTTTCTTTTTAGACTCTGAGAAAACACTATATAAGTGGTCTTGGATTTTGTCCACTGATCACTATATCATAATTGGTTTTTAATACAGCTATGTATTATTCCACCAAATGGATGTATCATAAGTCTCCTGATTTCCTATCACTGAGTAGTAGATTCTTTCCAGTTTATCATCATTACTCTTAATAATGCTGAGATTAATGTCTTTGGACAGAAATCTTGCCATAAATCTCTGATTATGTTCTTAAGATAAACTCTCAGAAGTGAAGGATCTAGTTCGCGGGACATGGACAGCTCAGTGCTCTGCAGGCCTCCTGCCAAACAGCACGCCAGACCCTCATTGGGCCCCACCGCTCGAGGCCAGCTCCCTTGCCTTCGCCCTCCGTCAGAAGTGGGCAGGGGCTCTGAGCACAGATGGCTCTGAATTCTGGCAAAGGGAGTCAAATGACACACTGACAGACTAACTGAAGTAACAGCTACCATTTCAGTATCTCCCATGGGGTTTCACACTGCTCCTCCATTTAAACTTTCAACCCCCTTCAGAGACAGACACTAGTATCCTCATTTTGCAGACGAGGAAACTGAGGCTCGGATTTTGAGTGACTTGGCCAAGGTCAACAGAGCCAATGACTGGCATCACTGTCTGGGCCCAAAAAAGCCACCGAGAGACGATGAGCCAGCAATGGTGACCGAGACGCCGGCAGCTCACCTAGTGTTTCACAGCTTGTGTTCCGGGAGCACTGCCCGCTGTCCCTGTCCAGAGAGGACAGCTGCTCGTCCGACTTGCTGAGCTTGCCTATGCTGCTGCAGGGGGACAGGCGGGGCGACTCGCCGCCATACGAGTGGCTGCCGCCCGACAGTCGTCTCTGTGCGTAACAGTCCACGTCAAAATCCTCCCGGCAAAAAAACGAAAACAAACCAAGTCACTCCTGGGAAATGGTGGCAGAGACCAGGGGAGGGAGCCGGTACGTTTACTCGGAGAAGGAAATACCGGCAAGCTCAGCAAACTGCTGGAAAGGCCCGTCTTTGCTGTAGGCTGTAAACACCACTTCTGCGCCTTCTGAGAAAGAGGGCCTGTGCCAGCGCTCAGAGCTCAGTGCGAGGGAGGCCCTGGGGCCGGTCTCGGCCTCCCCACCCCGTGAGGGAACTTCCACCCCAGTGGGGAGAGCTCCTCCTGACCAACGCCAGGGACTGAAGACCACTGGGTTTCTCTCAGCTTCAGGAACCAAATCCCCAAAGCTGAAGCCTTCCTCTGCCTTTCTAGATGGAGCTAATTACCTGCCTATTAATTCCAACAGGCAAACTGGAGCCACTGGTGGCTCGACTCATGGGGGCCACGACAGCCACTCGGGTAGGGGATGGAGCCGACTGTCTCTTCTTCGGTGGCAATGCTGGTGGAGGACTGAAACAGAGCAAGGAACCCTATCAAACCAGACACCCCACAAAATGCTTTAAACAGATACTCAGGTATGGGAGGTGGGTTCTTTCATTATCAAACACTTCACACCTGCTTTTCACACTTTCAACTCCCATCCCATCAGTGCCAAAAAACTAGTATCCAAAGTCCTTGCTTTTCTTTTCGTAACAACTGGTACCAGTTTTTGCTTGGTTAAGGCTAAAAGGCAAGCGGTTGGGAGTTCTCAGGGTGCGGGGCAAGGGAGGGCGCTGGGCCAGGCTCGCGTCCTCCGGGGACGCACCTCCGGAGGAAGGTCAAACGGCCAAGGTGCCTGAAGAGCAGGTTCTGACCCTAATGGCACCGCCTTCTTTTTGGCTCATCCTACCCATCCATTCATGAAATTATGACATAAATAGAGGAGGGTGCTAGAAAAACAGAAAATTACCTATTATCAACCACACGAATGCCAGGTAAGGGGGGTTTGGGGGGCGCGACCTCTTCATCCGTGGAATCTGGGAGCCCCTCGGCCGACTGCGACAGGCCGGTCGTCTTGTTTAGAATCTCCATCTCTCGATCTGTCAAGGGGAGCTCAGACTGGCTGGAGAGTTGAAGAGAACTCGGGGTTACAGAAGGCCACAGAGAAGGTCCTGAGAGCGTGAGGATGTGACCAGGGCAGGGAAGTCATGGGGGGACAGGGACGGAGATGCCCTGGACACAGAGCTGACACTGTGCCCCTGGGCTCCAAGGCAGAGATGGGGTTTCAAGTCTGGTTCGATCACCCACAAACAGCAGAAGCTTGGCCAAGTCCCCCTGCCTCTGCACCTCAGTTTCCTCATCTGTAAGAGGAATCTCTGGACTAGATGATGTTCTAAAATGCTCCAAGTGTAGGTTTTATATTTTTACTAGGGGCTTGTAGTAGAAATTATTGCAAGGTCTTATAACTGTCCACATTACCCTCAGTTTCCTTTCTTGATAAAGTTAAATGCTCTCAAGTCAAACCCGTAAAACCCAACCCTTCAAAGTTCTTTCTAATTATGGGAGGAAGCTGGTCAAGAAAAGTATAGGTGGGTTTTGACATCACACACTATCCTTAGAAAAGGTCACACTATTAACCTGGAGACCAGGCAATTCTTCACAATGGGTGTGAGCTACACACACTTTAAAGTAATGCAGGCTCTTACCCAGAATTCACTGAGAAGGGAATGTGGGCCTCACAGGGCCTGCCTGATGTGGGCTCCGGACCTGGCTCCCCTTCTTTCCCAAGTGTAGATCAACCGTGACCCCAGATACTGGAGGGTCTGGTCAGCACTCACCCGTCGGGTTTGCAGGCTGGGGAACTGGGTTTCACTGGGCTTGTTGGAGACGGATGCCCCTGCTTCTCGATAGTAAGTCTGACAAGCTCCTACACCCCACACAAGAGAAAAGCAGTGAGACACGAGGAAGCTTCCTCACCGTGAATGTTCCCAACCAGGTGGGTCGGCTGTCTGTCCTCCACTGCCCACAGATTCCTCACTCACCATAAGTGCGAGTATGGTTTGACTTAGGTAATCTGCCTGACTTCCCAAAACGTCCCCTACCCTCCAAAAATACCTGCACAGCACATCGAAAGTTTCAAGTGCATAAAGGCACTTCCTTTTGGAAGGGGGAAATGACAAGCCCCACTGTCTCAGAATGACTAAGTTCATCACACAGATCAAACTCCTGGCAGAACAACTGCCAGTCGGTTGGTGGAGGAAGAACTACTACCCTTTAGTTCTCTGAAGCCATTATACGATGTGCAGGACGCTGCTTACTAACAATCAAACCTCTGGTCTTGGGGAAGGTGGTTTCCCAGAGCGAGCTGGCCATGGGTGTGGCAGCAGCTGGTATCCTGAAATGACTGGTGGGAATCTTTGTCGATGGACAGAAGGTTTAGGGCATATTACCCAGCAGAGAAATGACTTCAGAAACTGTTTTTTTAAATAGGAAAAAAAAAAAAAAAAAAAAGAGGTGATTAGGGCCTACTTGGTTTTCTCAACTAGAATGCATCTTCCTCCAATTTGATGAGTTTTGGTGACCGCATACACCATATAAGAATCACTCAAAAATACAGAACGTTCCCACCACCCTCTCCAGTCAATCTGCCCCATCGCAACCACTTTTTCACTTCTGTTTCTTGGATCACTGCTGTCTAGAACTTGAAATAAGTGGAACCATACAGTATGTACTCTTTGGTGTCCATCTTCTTTTTCTGAACAGCTTTAGGCCATAAAATTCAGCCTTTTTTTTTTCTTTTTTTCTGTACGCGGGCCTCTCACTGTTGTGGCCTCTTCCGTTGTGGAGCACAGGCTCAGGACGCGCAGGCTCAGCGGCCATGGCTCACGGGCCCAGCCGCTCTGCGGCATGTGGGATCTTCCCGGACCGGGGCACGAACCCGTGTCCCCTGCATTGGCAGGCGGACTCTCAACCACTGCGCCACCAGGGAAGCCCAAAATTCAGCCATTTAAAGTGTGCAATGCAATGGGTTTTAGTCTGTTCACAGTGTTGTGCAACCATCAACACAATCCATTTTAGGACTCATTATTACTTCCAAAACAAACTCTGGACCTTTCAGTGGTCCCTCCTCATGTCTCCCCGGCCCTCCCGGACCCACAACCACTAATCCACTCTCTATCTCTATTCGTCGATCCTCTTTTGCTCAGTGTAAACACCCACGTCTCTGTGTGCATGAGTAGTGTGTTCCTTGGTGTTGCTGAGTTGTATTCCAGTATATGGATAAACCCACGATTTCTTCATTCACTGCCCTGTTGATGCACACCTGGGTAGGACCTACCTGTGTCACATGAGAAGTTCAGGCTTTCAGCATGAACGTCTATTTCTAAAGTTACAGAGGAGGCAGCAATGGAAGAAGGTGGGTAATACAGCAGTGTGCCCCCAAATCAGACTGCAAAGCCTCTCCCAACTCAAAACACCCCACACAGGAATCCCGACAAGTGTGGTAAGGCAAAGAGTTAATATGATGGATGGAAGTAATGCTTTGGATACAGCTTTTCTAAACGATGACTTGTCAGCATACATAAAAAGCTTTAAATACTTGCATATGTTTTACAGTAATTTAGCCCAAGGAAAATGACATGGATGTGTACAAAAGTTAAGCCACAAAGAACGGTCACTGCAGCATTCCGTGTAACAGGTAATCAGACGACTCAATATTCCATAATTAAATATTCAATACTAGGTACTGATTACACAACTTAAGATAGACTTAAACAATGGACCATTATATTACCATTAAAAAAACTCACAAGAGGGCTCCCCTGGTGGCGCAGTGGTTGAGAGTCCGCCTGCTGATGCAGGGGACACGGGTTCGTGCCCCAGTCTGGGAAGAGCCCACATGCCGCGGAACGGCTAGGCCCATGAGCCATGGCCGCTGAGCCTGCGCATCCGGAGCCTGTGCTCCGCAACGGGAGAGGCCACAACAGTGAGAGGCCCACACACGGCAAAACAAAACAAAACAAAACAAAACCTCACAAGAATATATGATAGCGTGGAAAGACAATACAATGTTAAGTGGAAAAACAGCCCAGATGGTACACTGGTGTATACACAGTATGTTTTGGAAACAAAACAAAACCAAGAACACACGTACAGGAAAAAATATGGCTTTGAAACACCCCTTATTTTCTTGTTTTTGCTTCTCTGCTTTTTCTTACTTTGCTACAATGAACATGTATTACTTCTGAAATACGAATTAAAAGAAAAATAAGGCATACTCCATATAATCAGAATCAGTGTCACCCCACTCTGTAACAGTTTCGATGCCTATTCCTGGAGAAACGAGGAGGGTTGAGATCGCCAAGAATCAAGTACTGGAAGAAGAAAGGAGAAGGTTGGCATTTTCCTGTTATCACCATCTAGGAGTTAAACATAATCTCGCAAATATTTAAGGAACAGCTAACTAGCTGGTGATTACAGACAAGGTGGAGAGACAAGAGACGACGTAATTAGAAGAGAGAGCAAGTGGCGTGGAGGCAGGCCCCCTGCACCCCATCGCCTGGAGGAGGGTGGGGAAGGCCTTTCATCCAAGAAGCCCATCACCAGGCCACACGGAAGAGCATCACGGCATCAGAGGGAGTCAAAGTGCCTTGGAAGCGCCACACTCCAGCTCACTCTCTTTACAAAAGCAGAGCAAAGGAGAAGGGAGGAGCCTGTACGCTTCCATCTGCTGAGGCAGGACAAAATTCCACTAATTCTTCATTGATTCCTGAGCAATTATAATTAGAATGCCATCTTTCTGGAGAGGCAGCTGTGTGAACTCAACTAAAGAACGGTGGCAAAAGAACCACTCAATGACCGGCACACATGTGCAAGTGTGCACCCGAATTCCAAGACAAAGTCAGATCCCAGAACTTACCCTCCTTCACCCCAGGCCCAAGGAGATCATCACAGGAGGGGGCAGCTTTCCATATTCACCACGACCTTCCAGCCCAAACACAAACACACCGGCCAGAAGGTCTTTCACTCTCAGCCTGGCTTCTCTCTCACAGGCAGAAGGGCACCCTTAGAATGTGCATGTACCCGGCGACCGTGCCAACACCCTCATCTCCTTCAGAGCCGACCGTTTGTAACCTGGCCAGAGCCCAACTCCCCCTACTGAAGCCAGATTTCTGAGAGGATGTCAGACTTTCCAATCCTACTGAGGCACAGGTTAGGAAAGACTGAGAGAGACGGCACACGAGGCTGTGTCCAGAGCCGGCAGCTGTAAACCAGACAACTGCCAGTTCACCGAAAAGCAGTTTTCAAAAGCCCGAAAGGTACCTGGAAGAGAACCTTTCTAGATACACAATACTTTATTTCCATGTTCATTTTACTCATATTGACAGTGATCACAGAGACACTTCCATCTTAGATGACCTTCATCCAGTCAAAGCACAGCTCGGTGCTCAGGTAAGAAACAGTCCTATCTGTTTTTGTCTCCTCGGCCCCTGCCCGGCAGAGGGGACACGGGCTGCACGAGGAGAGGCCCAAGTCCTCCAGGTTCACGTGGAGAGAACACGCACTTTAACGGGAAAGCGCCCCGCCCGCAGCCTGGGCCTGCTGCCCCTGCTCAGGCCGCATCCCGGCCTGTCACTGTCTGTCCTCTATCACTATGGGCTCCTGTGCTTATGGCCATGACACGGCCCCTCTACCGGTGAGTGGTCCTAAGACGAGTTCTTCACCAAAGACACTGGGTACAGGTCAGTGGGGAGTTTCCTGTAACTGCAGTGGCATAATGCAGTCACAGGGCTGTCCAGCCCCAGTATGACCTTTATGGTGACAACCAGGGACCTTCCCTGCCCACATCCTGAGTGGGGGTGAGGCAGCGACACAGCAGAGGAAGTGCCTTCCTTCTCACATGTGCTCAGGAGGAGACAGAACACTAAGCAGACAAGGCGCAGAGTGCACCGGCCGGGCGGTGACTCCTCAGTTCAGCTTCTGGAGGCCCACAGCAGCCTAAGAACAAGGCAGCCAGAGGAGGTCTCAAATTCCACCCTGAAAGACGCTGAAGACACCAGCCCAGAAGCAGTGCCAAGCCCGGCTGGCACGGGGGGAGGGGCATAATTTTAAAACTGGGGACTTGTGTCTTCAAAATAATGAGTTGGGGCCAAACACTACAACTCGAACAATAAAACTTTTCAGGGTTCACCCCAAAAAAGGCCCTAAACAAGCTTACAGATTATTGAAAGACCTTCTCTTGACATTTGTAACTAAGTAGAACACGTGCGGGCCCAGAAAGGAGATGCTGCTGCTACAACTCCTAGCTGGACAGGATGCCCTTCTACTCCCAACACACTTGAGAACGAAAAAGCAGTAAATGTTCGGTGCGGTTCTTCAGGTTAGCAGATTTACCAGAAAAAATACTTAGTGAACTACTCAGAAAGTAGGCTGGGGAGGGCTTATTAAGCCACCCTATTATTTTGAAAAAACAACAACATAAGTACCCGTAAACCCTGAGCGTATGAAGCTGAAATTGAAGCACGATGATTTCTCTGACTTATGAAAGTATATCCACAACGTTCCTACGTGGCAATTTCCTACTCTGCACATAAGCCGCTGTCTCTTCCCCCTTTCTTCTTCTTCTTCTTCTTGTGTTTTTTTTGCGGCACGCGGGCCTCTCACCGCCATGGCCTCTCCCGCCGCGGAGCACAGGCTCCGGACGCGCAGGCTCAGCAGCCATGGCTCACGGGCCCAGCCGCTCCGCGGCACGTGGGATCCTCCCGGACCGGGGCACAAACCCGTGTCCCCCGCATCGGCAGGCGGACTCTCAACCACTGCGCCACCAGGGAAGCCCCCGCTTTCTTCTTTCCTCTCCTTCTGCTCCTTTGTAAAGCAGTGGAATACTCAGACCACTGCACACAGGAAATACTCAAATACATGCCACGT